GGGGCCCGTCGGCGCGCCCCGGTTTCCGCATCCAACTCGGGACGCTTCCGTTCGTAGTGGGGACGGTCCCCACCGCGAGGGCCGTCCAGGGTGCGCTTGCGGAGTGGGCGACCTCGACTCCGATCCCCCTCGCTTCGCGCCTCTGGTAGGTGGTGGCAGAGGTCCTTGCTTGGGAGGACTTGGGTGAGGAGCATGTGGCAGTTGCCCCCACACGTCGCGCGGAGCCGAGCGAGAGGGGTGCCAGGATTGGTGTCCCGTTCTTGGGCTGCTGCGGATGCCGTCCTCCCTACCCTTCACTGCTTTGGAGCACACCGGGACGTCCCCTTTGTAGGCGGATGCCAGCTCGCCCCTTCTGGCTTCCTGACCTTAGGAGAATGGGACCTAGTGGGTCCACCAGCCCTCACACCCCCGCGAAATTTGAGGGGCAGTACTGGGGATTGAACCCAAGGCCTTCCCACCGTCCTACCCCGCTCTTTTCTTTTTTGAGACAGTTTTCACTGGCTGGCTTTGAACTTGCAGTTGTCCTGCCTCAGCTTCCTAGAGTGCTGGGATTACAGGCGTGTAACCCCACACGTGGCTCCCCTTTTTTTTTTGTATTGGTGATGGAACCCAGGTCCTCACTCATGCTAAACACACATACTCTTACTGAGCTACATCTCCTGCCCCAGCTCCTTCATTTTGTAACTGAGACTGAGGCCCAAAAAGAATGACTGTCCTAAGTCTATACTGCTGGTGAACTATGGGGTTTCACTAAAATCCAGATTTTGTCGTCCCCCGCCCCGCATATGCATTCCATCATTTCATTCCCCTGTCCGGCAGGTTGTTCTCATGTCTTTCTTGCCTTAAACCCTACAGAAAAGGCTCTCGGCTCCTTTTCCCCCAGGTCTGTGGGTACAGTTACGGGATCACTTCCCTCCGCAGGGTTTTCGGCAGACCTCCACACGTTAGAAGGGACTCGGCAGAGAATGAGAACCTTATCCCCTTGTCATCCGTGAGCCCCTCTTCCACCTGCATTCCCACTGTTTGCTGTCCTCATGTCTGCTTTACTCTTGAATCTGGATTTTGCCGCGTGTCCTCCCAAAAAGTCATTAGAAATTGTCATCCGAGCCCCTCTTCCACCTGCATTCCCACTGTTTGCTGTCCTCATGTCTGCTTTACTCTTGAATCTGGATTTTGCCGCGTGTCCTCCCAAAAAGTCATTAGAAGGAAATGCAAAGCATCGAAATTTTGTCAAGAAACGACGGTTCTTGGAACAGAGAGGCTTTCTGAACAAAAAGAACCAGCGTCCTAATAAGGTGCCGAAGCCACACTCAGAACCTACAAAGAAAGGGGAAACTCCGAGAGTCGATGGCCCTGGGAAGACCCATCCTCCCCCCGGACAGAAGACAGCGGCCTCCAGCAATGGGTCAGAGCAGGCCCTGGACAGGAAAGCTGCCGTGTCTTGGCTGACCCCCGCTCCTTCCAAGAAGACTGACTCTGTTGTGGGGAAAGTAGATTTGCTGGGGGAGTTCCAGAGTGCGCTTCCCAAGATTAAGAGCCCCCCGGCTCGCTCCCAGAAGAAGGCCCCACAGAAGAGGCCCCCTCAGAAGAGTGCCACACAGAATGCCACCCAAGTGCCCTCAGAGGGTGTGTGCTCCAGAGCGGCCCAGAAGCCAGGGAAGATGGTGGCGCTTGACTGTGAGATGGTGGGCACGGGTCCCAAGGGGCACGTCAGCTCCTTGGCTCGGTGTAGCATCGTCAACTATGACGGCGACGTGCTCTATGATGAGTACGTCCTGCCCCCCTGCCCCATCGTGGACTACCGGACCAGGTGGAGCGGCATCCGCAAGCATCACATGCTGAAAGCCACACCATTCAAGACTGCGCGGAACCAGGTGAGGAGCCCAGGGCAAGGGGATGGCGGTGACGGTGATGGGGCCGGACGGAGAGCCCTTTCCCAGCAGAGGGTGTCATCCTGGGAAGGTGTCAAAGGATTGTAGGAAGCAGAATATCAAATAATTTTTTTTTCTTTTTCTTTTGGTACCGGGAATTGAACTCAGGGGCTCACGCTTACCAGGCAGGCACTTACCAAAAATATCAGATGATTAAGGCCTCCTGTTTGGGTGAAGAGTGGTGAAAGTGCATGTCAAGGGACTCAACATTCAAGGAGCAAGGGGCAGGAGGATTCTGAGTTCGAGGCTAGCCTGGGATGCACAAAACCTTTTCTCAAAAAGAGTGGTGAAAGTACAATTTGGCAGTAAAACAAATTTCATTAATCAAAACATTTGGCACTGGGCGTAGTGGTACATGACTAGTTTGAGGCCAGCCTCAACTACATAGCGAGACCCTGTCTAAAAAGAAAAAAGGGGGGGCGTTTAGTGAGATTGATTTGGGGACTAGAAGTATGTGTAGGGAAACAACAGCCAGTGATGAAACTGGCAGAGTACAGGCATGTGGTTAGGAAAGGGCTCCATAGGGAAACGTCTTCTAGCAGTGGTGGTGCATCTCTGACATATGTGCTCATAGTGCACTGTTTGTGTCACTGAAAGCTCTGAAAAGGTGGGTCAGCCTACCTTAGAGAATGGAAGCCTAGGACTGAGAAGGGAGATGGAGCGGACTCCAAACAAAAAGTAGGCTGGGATGAGTGGCAGAGGTCAGAAAGTGGACAGAGCTGAAGCATGGTGTATACTGGTGGCGAAGGACATAAAAGACACAGGGGTTCTCTCACTCATGAGCTGAGCTGTTCATTCTAACCTTCTCTGGACTTTGGGAGCCCAACAAATGAACAAGAGAGGAAGGTGAGCTCTAAAAGGCAAAGGCAGGAGGAAAAGGAGGCTGTCCTTGGCAGGCCAGCAGAGGGCGCTGTTGGTCCATGTCTTCGCAATTTAGGTCCTCACTGCTTTCTCTAGACTCCTCATAAGCCAGGACAGGTGTTGATGAGAGGCAAAGTGGCTGGTTATTAAACAGGAGTGGAAAAGCCGGGCATGGTGGCTCACTCCTCTAATCCCTGCACTTGGGAAGCTGAGGCAGGAGGATCACTGAGTTCGAGAGCAGCCTGGGCTACATACTGAGTTCCAGGTCAGTCTCAACTACATAGTGAAACCCTGTCTCAAAAAACCAAAAAAAAAAAGTGGAAGGACATCTGGAGCACTGAGGGACAAAAAGGCTTGGAAGCGGCAGAAGATGGGATGGCTTTGGGACAGCAGACAGCTCAAGGCACAAGGTGAGTATGAAGTCAGGGTATCGGTATAGCGGTCAGTCAGGATCAGCTGCACACTGGGCTGTTGGGAGTGCAGCTGGTTCCCATCATGAGGCCCTTGCCCAGTGCCTGGCCAGGCTATAGATCAGGCATGGCCATGAGCTGGTGTCTTCCAGGACAGCCTGTGGGAGGCCGTGCAGGGTGTCGCTTTGTGCACAGCCTGTTGGGAACACCATGTTGGGAACAGCCCTCAGAGCCCTGGGGTGCTCTCTGAACTCACCGGTAGTCCTCGCTCATCAAGATTCTGAAATAGTGAGGTGTTGTTTGGTCTAAGACTAGCGTAAGGCCCCCTCTGAGCTTTAGACTTTAAGTGACTCGAGTCCTGTGAGAGTCTGATGAGAATGGTAGGCTCTTTTTCCCCAGAGTAACCACATGCATCTAGGTGCAGTTCACCTGGAGGTCTCCTTGGAGCCCATCTGTCTCTGACTTCATGGGTTCCAGCCACATGTCTGAGGCCAGCATAATGATAAAGGACTTAAAGTTGCAAGTCAGAACTGAACTAGGAAAAAAGGGGGGCTGGGGATGTAGCTCAGTGGCACAGTGCCTGCCTGGCACATGTGAGGACCTGAGCTAATCCCTCACACCCAAAAAACACCTGAACTATTGGTCAAGTGTGGTGGCTCACACCTGTAATCCCAGCACTTGAGAGGCTGAGGCAGGAGGATCACTGCAAGTTTGAGGCCAACCTGGGCTACTTAGTGAGTTTAAGGCTAGCCTAAACTACTTAGTGAGACCCTGTCTTAAAAAAGCATGGGCCAAGAATTGAGCTCAGTGGTTCCACTGTCTGCCTTGCCAAGTGCAGGGTCCTAAGTTCCATCCCCAGTACCAAAAAAAAAATTACTTTTTTTTTAAAGCAAGCTAAACAAAAAAAGACCTGAACTACATAGTTATGTGAGTTTTTTTGTTTTGCTTTGTTTTCTTTTCTTTTTTGGTACCAGGGATAGAACTCAGGACCTTGCACTTGCAAAGCAGGCACGGTGTCACTGAGGTAAATCCCCAGCGCCCCCCACTTTTTGTGGTACCGGGGATTGAACTTTTCAGGCAGGTGGCAGATCCACTGAGCCAAATCCCTGGCCCTCTTTTTTTTTTTTTTCCTGGATAAAGGCCCACGATAGCTCAGGCTGGCCAAGCTCACAATCCCTCAGCTTCAGTCTCAGCCTCCTGAGAACTGGAATTGTAGGAGTTGTGCCACCATGTGTGGCAGTTACTCAGACATCTTAAGTGCAAGTTCAATTTAGGACAAAAGGAAAATTAATCCATCAGGGTGGAAATCAATAAGGTAAAGAGCAGTTGGGCATGGTGGTCTCACCTATAATCTCAGGTACTCAGGAGGCTGAGGCAAGAGAGTGACAAGTTTGAGGTCGGTCTGGGCAACTTAGTAAGACCCTGCCTCAAATTTGAGTGTGTGTGTGTGTGTTTGTTGAGACAGGACCTCACTATGTAATACAGGCTCACTATGTAGCCTAAGCTGGCCGCAAACACAGAGATCTTCCTGCCTCAGCCTCAGCCTCCTGAGTGCTGGGGTTACAGCCATTTGCCATCATACCTGGCTATGTCTCAAAATTTTAAGTCTAGCAAGGACCTGAGTTCGATCCCCAGTACCAAAAAGAAAAATTTTTTTTAAATCTAGGAGTGGGCCAGGGATTTAGCTCAGTGGTTCAGCTGCCTGCCTCACAAGTACAAGGTCCCAAGTTCAATCCCCGGTGCCACAATAAAAAATAAAGTCTAGGGGTGTAGCTCAGTGCCTCTGGGTTCAATTTCCCAGCACCACAAAAAATAAATAAAAAGGTGAGGAACTATTGTCATTGCAGATTCAAGTAATAAGGTTGCACATGGGAATTACCTCCTTCCACCTGGGGAAGAGGAAGTGAAACCTTGTTGGACAGGGCATTTCAAGGGTGAGGCAGACAGGCACTTGGTGAAGAGAAACCAGTGGCCAATGGCCATGTCACCTGCAGGACCCAGGGGTCCCCGTGTGGCTCTTGCTTCTCAGCTCCTTCCCACCCATTCCAGATCTTGAAGCTCCTTGCTGGGAAGGTCGTGGTGGGACACGCCATCCACAATGACTTCAAGGCCTTGCAGTACTTTCACCCCAAGCCCCTCACCAGAGACACCTCCCAGATCCCTCTCCTCAACCGCAAGGCCGGCTGCCCGGAGAATGCCACCATGTCTCTGAAGACTCTCACCAAGAAGCTGCTGGGCCAGGACATCCAGGTAGCTGCTCCTCGGCGTCACCCCCACATCCCGTGGCATGTGGCTTCTTCCTGCTGCCTCTCCAGGCTCTGACCCAGGAGTCCCCTGAAAAGTGCCACACGGGTCCTCTGCTGTGCGGAGGGGTACTGATGGCTTCACTCTCCTCACAGAGCATTCCAAGTAGTACTTTGGAGGAGAAAAGTCAGCCCAAAGTGGAAAGAAGGAAAGCTGGGTGTGGTGGCGCATGCCTAAAATCCCAGCACTGGGGAGGCTGAGTCAGGAGGATTGTTGTGAGTTCGAGGCCAGCCTGGGCTATGTCATGAGCTCCAGGCCAGCCTGAGCTACATAGCAGATCCTGTCTCAAAAAAATTCTTTTTAAAAAGAAGGAAGGAAAACAGGCAGTAGCTGTAGCCTGGAAGAGCAGTGGCTGGAAGAACCGCTGGGGCATTTCACATGCTCTGTGTTCAAAGGGGTGGTGCCTGGTAGGGAGAGAGCTGGGAACTGGGGCCTTGGAAGTCCTGCCGTGGGTCCAGTGTGCCCTGCAGGCCGAGCCAGGACTGAGGCGACAGAGCCCTGGGGTGATGAGAAGTAGAGCCCTGAGTTCTGTCTCTGCAGCCCCGGGGCGGTGGCAACCCTGGCAGGAGGGGAAAGTGTGTGGCTCAGGCTTTTCTCTCCCTCGCTGTTCAGGCTGGAAAAAGCGGCCACTCCTCTGTGGAAGATGCCCAGGCCACCATGGAGCTGTACAAGGTGGTTGAAGTGGAGTGGGAGCAGCACCTGGCCCAGAACCCCCCGAAAAACTAGCAGCTGTGGGGCAGCGGAGCGGCACCCAGGAGAACGGGCAGCACCTGGGGAGCTGGAATGGCTGGGAGAGAGCCTCCGCCCCAGACTCAATAGCCACTGCAGTCTCACCTCGCTCTTGTGTTCTGTGTCTGGTTACGGGTCCCCTGAAGGGGACGTCTTTGTGGGGAATCCAGCCCTGGACTATTTACCTCACAAATGGTGCTAACCACAGAGCCCTGCCTGCTTGTGCCGGCCAAGCATGGGGCGTCCTGGGAAATGTAGTTTCTCATCCGCCTTATAACTCAGTGGCCCTTTGTCTCTTCTGGTGGGAGGCTGTGTTGCCCAGTGCGGCCTTGGCTGCCTGGGCTTGACCAGTCCTTCCTCAGCCTCCAGAGTGGCCGGGACCACAGGCACACACCACCACACCCATAGGTCTCCTGCCTTTACTTCTCAAATAATTTTTTTTTTTTTTTAGCTACCAGGGATCGAACATGGGACCTTGCACTTGTGAGGCGGGCGGCAGCACCACTGAGTTAAATCCCTGGCCCACACTTCTCAAGTAGTTGACAAGAACCTTTCACTTTTTGTGGGGCTGGGTGAGCGCCTATTTGCAATTATGTGGCCCTAGGTTGCTCCCCATCACCTGCCCCCCAGTGTCCTGGCTGGACCCTGAATGTTGGTCCTGTTTGTGTCACAGGCCCTGCTTTGGGCTTAGAGCCTGCGCCTGGTCTGCCAAGATGTTACTTTGGATCTCAAGGAGCCAGGAGGGCTGCATAGTTACTGGGGTTGCATGGCAGTGAGGTGAGAGTACAGCTGGGAAATCAACTTTTCTGACACAAAAGCTCAGCTAGAGTGGCAGAGGATTTATTTAATTTAGGTTCTGCTTGGTGGGTTAAAATTTACATTGTTTTACTTTTTTTAAGTCACCTTTTATCTTGCTAAATCAAGTCTCTTAAAAACGCGTGATTGTTTTGATAAATTTTTATAACTGGAAACAGTTGTGCGGTGATTCCTTTTTGACTTCACATGAAGCAGAGCCTCACCCTTTTCAGGGGCTGTGGGCTTCAGCAGAGGGGCTCCTGGGCCCTCTGGGTGGCACTAAAGGCCCCTTTACTTGCTGAAAGTCCTTGAGCACTGGCCAGACCTGTGTGTGACATGTTACACGTGCCACAAATCAGCAGGCTCACCTAAAATGACAGGCACCCAAGCTTTGTGACACGCTCCCGTGGGGCGCAGGGCCAGGAGAGAGAGGGGGAACCCTGGGGACAAGGGGGGGGCCAAGGATGGAAGAGTGCTGAGTCACAGCTCTGACCTTGTGTCAAGGGTTACTGTCTGTCTTCTGTTTTCTTTTCCTTTGATTTTGAGACAGTCCCACTGAGTTGCCCAGGCTGTCCTCACACCTCTGCTCTCAGCTTCCCAAGTAGCTGGGATGACAAGTGTGTGCCGCCACACCCTGCATGCATTCTTTTTTTTTTTGTTTTTTTGAGAGAGTCTCACTATATAGATCAGGCTGGCCTTGAACTCATGTAGCCTGGGCTGGTGTCAAACCCATCGAGATCCTCCCGCCTCTGCCTCCCGAGTGCTGGGATTACATGTGTGTACCACCATGCCCAGCCCACATGCACTGTTGAAAGACTTCTCACGTACTCTAGAATGTGGGTCTCTTGAGAAACTGGTCTGGTTTTGGGCTGAGTCACAGCTGCCGTGGAGAGGAATTCCTCCCACCAAGCCAGACCCTGGACAGCCCAGGTGTTTTGTGTCCTACAGTGCAGGATCCACTGATAACAGCTGTATTCCCTGAGGAAGTTGGTACCTGTGAGGCCCAAAGCTGTTGACCGGGTGCCCGTGCCCTCACGCAGATCTGAGTGGGAAGCATCCAAAAGTTGAGAACAGAAATCTCAGCGTGATCAGCAAACTGCAGGAGAGCTGGGGATTCTGACCTGTTCAGAGTGGGCCCTATGCCTGACAGGCTCTTGCTGCTGTGCACTGTTCCAAGCACAGTGGGAGGTTTTGGCTTGGTCTTGAGACATCTCACTGGACTCCTGGCTGGCTCTGAACCCAATCCTCCTCCCTCAGCCTCCCAAGTGCGGAGAGTACAGGCAGCGCGCGTCCCCGAGGCAGGCTTACGGTGAGGTTTCCTGTGCTGACACTCATCCTGAGAGGGAAATACGGAACTGTGTCCTGCTGACTGTACCCGTGAGTCTAAAACTACTTAAAGTGGTTCCCAAAGGCAAGGGGGCAAGTACTGTGGGGTAGTATGGCCTGTCCCCAGGCTTTGGGAACTGCACACCCGAGGGCCGGGAGTTTAGCTCAGTGGTTCCGCCATGTGCTTCCCAAGTGCAAGGTCCTGAGTTCTATCCCTGGTACCAAAAAATAAATAAATAAAAGGTGGACTGGATGTTTCTGACTTAGGGAGAGTGCACAGGTGTGTTGTTCACCGAGGGGATTTGGGGAGCAGGAGCCGCTTCAGGAAGGACAGGAGTGGTGCTGCTTGGGTGGGCTGCGCTGCCTGCAGACACCCACGTGGAGAAAAGTCCCACAGCAGCTGGGTAGATCAGATGGAGCTCAACAGGGCGCTCTGGGGCTCTGAGAACAGCGTCGCAGTGGGTTGGGAGCCCTGGAGTGGGCGGGGAAGACGAACACAAGGTCCAGACCAGAACTCAGGGAAGCCTGAGAGAACTACCAGACCGTTGGGGGACAAACAACCAGGACTTCCTGAGAAGGAGAAGGCACTGCGTGAGACAGCGGTTTGGTGGCCCTGACCTGAGCAGTGTCTGCGAAGGGACAGGAGCGTGGCTGACACTCCAGTGGGTGGAGAGCGAATGCAGGTGAGAAAGGAGAGGGGCGGGCTGTTGGATTCTGGGGCTGGGAGCCTGAGATCTGAGACATCCTGGAGGGATGATCTGCCCTCTGAAGAAAAGAAAGGTGAGCCGGGCGTGGTGGGGCACGCCTGTAATCCCAGCACTCGGGAGGCTGAGGCAGGAGGATCGCTGTGAGTTCGAGACCAGCCTGGGCTACATAGTTCCAGGTCGGTCTCAACTACATAGTGAGACCCTGTCTCAAAAAAAAGAAAAGCAAGGTGATGTGCAGGCATGGATGCAGACATTTCACGTGGGCTGCTTGGGGAGGCCTCTTCAGGGAGGTGACATTTGGACAGAGTCAAAAGAAGTAAGGAAGCAGGTTTTGCATGTTTGAGGGAAGACGCTGCAGACAGTAACAGGCACATGGTATGGATTGAGCAGGCAGCAGGGGTCTACAGAAGTAGCCAGGGAGAGAAAGCCAGGGAGGAGCCTGTGGGATGGCACACGCCTATAATCCCAGCACAGGAGGCTGAGGCAGGAGAATCACTGAGTTCCAGTCCAGACTGGGCTACACATTGAGTTCAAATCCAACCTGAACTACATAATGAGACCCTGTCTCACACACACAACAAAATGAGTCAGGGAAAATTGACAGGAGAAGAGCTCAGAGCGGAGGGGCAACCTTGCAGGTAACACAGAGCCTTGCTGCTCATTTTAAGGACATGGACAGCTGGGCATGGTGATGCATGTCTGTAATTACAGCTACTTAGGAGGCTGAGGCAAAGGCATTTTGAGTTTGAGGCCAGCATGGGCAGTTTAGCAAGACTATTTCAAAAAACACCTGGGGTCGAGCCCAGAGGCAGAGCTCCTGCTCAGTGGGTATGAGGCCCTAGGTTCAAACCCCAGTGCTGGGAGAAGGCAGAGTAAGGAGGAGCCACAGCAGGGTTTTGAGTGGAGGACTGACGTGATAGATTCAGGGCGCCCCTAGCACTGTCGTGGGGAGAGGATGGGAACCCCAGGAACCATCCTTGCCCTACACTAGGAGAGAAGGCAGGCAGGTGGCAGTGGGGACTGACTGGCCGGAGTTCCTGGCTTGGGACAGATTCGCCTTTCACCTGTGGCTGGTGGACAACTTCAGCCCAGGGCCGATGTCTTTGGCCCCCTTGCACTCCTCGGGGCTGCCAGCATGCTTCAGGAGTGCCCGGCCAAGAATCGCCAGGAATCGCAGGGCCACAGTGCTGGTGCAGGTGGAACCCTGCAGACGGGTGAGTGACACTCACTCTGCCTGCTGAGGGGGTCCTGTGACCCAGCTTCTCCCTCCTCACCGCTCCCTGTCCTTGCGCCCTGGTTAGCCGCTGCACAGGTTTTGGTTTTGGTTTTGGTTTCTGTCGTCTTCCCAGCACTGGGGATTGAACCCAGCACCTTCCCACTGAGCTATATCCCTTGGCCCTGTTTACTTACTTACTTTATTTAGTTAGTTATTGAACCAGAGACAGAACTCAGGATTATTTCTTGTTTTGAGATAAAATCTCACTAAGTGTCCCAGACTTGCAGTCCTCCCAGCTCCGCCTCCCTCAGTGCCGGGATTACAGGCATGTGCCACCACACTGGGGGGTGGTCTCGCTAAACTGCGTAGGCTGGGCTCAAACTCGTGATCCTCCAGCCTCAGCTTCCCAGAGTGGTAGGGTTACAGGCATGGGCCACCAGGCTCAGCTTTTTTCTTCTTTATGTATGGCTTCTAGCCTCATTGGGGACACTGTCATGCCATCTTTCTTTGAAAGAGTGTAGATACTGCGTAGGATTCTGAGTGAGGGAGAGGAAGGTAGGGAGAAGGACGCTATTTTTAAGAATTTTGCATGGATGGCTGGGAATTCAATGGTGCCACATCTGCCTCACAAGTGCAAGGTTCTGAGTTCAATTCCTGGTAGCTCAAAAAACAATCAAGCTGGGCATGGTAGAGCATGCCTGTAATCCCGGCACTGGGGAGGCTGTGGCAGGAGGATCGCGGTGAGTTCAAGACCAGCCTGGGCTACACAGTGACTTCCAGGTCAGTCTCAACTATGGAGTGAGACCCTGTCTCAAAAAACCAAACCAAACCAAACCAAACAAAACAAAAAACAAAAAACCAAACAACAAAGAATTTGGCATGGAAACACAAGCACACCTTAATCCTCTTCTGGGCTCCCCGAATTCTGTTCTGAGGTGCTTAAGAGCAAAGCTTTGGGGTCAAGCAGACCTGGGCAGCACATGGAATGCTCTGGCATAGTGGGAAGCCACAGCAAGTCCCCTCTCCAGGAAGGTGGCTGTGACGAGCCATCAGAGCACCCTGAGGCCAGGCCCTTCCCTCCCTTCCACCTCACAGAATCCTGTTCGGTCAGTCCCTTCCTTGGAAAGGATCCATGAGACAGTTCACAAATCCTAACCAAAGGAGGAAGACAAATGACTGCCTGTCCCCTGGGAGCCCATATCCTGCAAGGCGGGGATGCCGAGGCAGATGATCCAGCTCTGGCAGCTCCTGGGAGGAGCTGCAGGGAGGGTCTTGGGGCTAGGGACGGACTTGCTCTGTCCTCCCTGCCGCGGCCCCCAGTGGGATCCTGGGGGATCCTGGAACCCACCCAGGGGGCCTGGGCTTTATG